GTGATTAAACGGTCCGAAATGTCACAGTGATCATTTTATCTCTAGGTGTACAAGCGATATCCGTATTTTCTTATATTCGAATCGGCCTTAGTGCACAAGTGACATCCGAAGTGGGTCCGAGCTTTCTAGATTTGTAAAGTCTCAGATCGGAACGAATAGAGAGGTGCGGTTCGGAAATAAATTAAAAATAAATTCATTATTCCGATATGTGCACGATTAAAAATATTAATTAAAAAAAACAGTATTTAAATTAATAACTGTTTGAAATTGATTTAGTTCAGGTTAGGGTGGTTTGCATTAATATTATACATAACCGATATCTCAGATAGCGTAGGTTTGTTTGAAAAAACAACTTAACTAAACTAACTTCACAAAAACAAATTTTACGTTTTGATAAATTAAATATGCTTTTGTTCAACAGATGGCAGCACCAGCTGTAGGAATCGATCTGGGTACTACGTATTCCTGTGTCGCAGTTTATAGGAATGGCAAGGTAGACACGTCTTCTGGTATATTATAATTAGATCCGGCCTTCCACTGACGTGACGGCTCGGCAGAGGAACTTTCGCGCGATGGGCGATTGTTACTAAAAAAAATCGATAGCTATATATACTTTTAAACTTTCGCGTTGCATTGCACTAACATTTGGAAACGGGAATAAACGCGTGTACATACGTATAGGTATTTTTCACGCCTATCTAGTTTCCCGACGTTTCGGCCTGGTTGCACTGGCGATAGTCACGGGCTGACTTTATATTTATTTAGATTGTTGTACCATCCTATATTCGATTTTCGATTTAGTAGCCTACATTTATTTCTCTCGTGAGTTTGGGTGTAATTTATGGTTGTCTCTGTGTCCATGGCACCCGCGATACAGGTTTTCCCTATGAGCTATGTTGAGTGTGTGCGTTATTAAGTAAAAAAAAAACAAAAAATTACATGCACATGGGACTTGTCAACTTATGTCTCTGGGTGACGGGAGAATTTGCAATTTAAAGCTCTGAGTGGCACTGCAACTGTTATGGACAGGCGTGTAGCTTACCTTCAGGCGCACGACTTGTTCGTCCCGTCACTTGATGTTATAAAAAGACTAAGATCAAATAATAAACGAAATAGAAAAGATTCAATTATTATGTAATAACCATTGACTTACAATTATATGGACGTCGGGTCCGCGCTAAAAAGTGTCCGAACTTATAGGGCGTTAAAATCGTATACAGAGCGTCATTCACGCTTTAGTCTTCGTTTGTTCGACTGACATCGAAGCAAGCAAAATTAGACAGTACTGCGATGACATTACAATTTAAATTCAATATTTCAGCTTTTTCATATTCCTTTGCATGTCACTACGGTTAAATAAGTTGACTTGGGACATTTTTTTCGTGGTTTTTATATTAGACCCGTCGTCCATTTATTTGTAAGTCAATGGTAATAACATACAACTTACCAAGAAAATTACACAACAAAATAAAAAAAATCAACTGCGTCGAAACGAAATTTGAACAATTACAACAATAATTATAATTTGGAAGACCAACTATTTATTTCACTTTGGATTTTAATGAGTTTCCGATTCGATTTTTTATAACAATCGATTTTATTTATGAAGAAGTTTCAATTGTGAATGTGAGCCGGTTCAAAAAAGAAGATATTGTCTGGTATTGGAATTAAGAATTAATGTTCATGAGGACTCAAGTGATGATTCCCGTTCATATGGACAAAAATCCGACGATTCATTGTAATAAACAATAAGAATTTGTTATAATTATTTATAATTTATTTCATTTCATTATAATTTATTCGATAGGTACCAAAATGTATCAACTTGAATAGTGTACGTTACATAATCTGTTGACTCGATAAATATCGGAGCTATAGAGTACGTTGCTTCACTAAAATTAAAAAATAAAAGAGTCCAGGAAGTATTGCATTTTTTGTCTATGGTTGTATGTCAATAATTATATAATAATAATAATAATTTATTTATTTCCACAAATGACAGAACCAAAAAATTACAAGAAAAGATTAAAAATAAAAGTAAAAATAACAACAAAAATTTTAATTATAAAATAGTTGACACTGTTTAATTGTGGATCACGGTATTTAGCAATTGACGACCCTGTCTCTTAAACTAGGTGAGCCTGTATGTTAAGAGACAGTGATTCAATCTAATGAGGTATAATTTTTGGATTACAGCAAAATGGTGAACAGTGTAATACACAACATAAGTATAAAGAAAGGAGAATTATGGAACTTCGAAGGCATGCATATGTCAAAAGTTAAATAAATAGTTGGACAGATTATAGTAACAATTTCGATTCACAATCAATAATCGATTAACAATCGAAACGTGAAGTAGTGTAATAAGGTAACATCAAAATGCAAAAAGCAAAATTCCATCTTTTCAAGAGATGTGACGATTTTGCGAACGACATTCGTTTTTCACCTCACTAGCTCGGAAATGCTTTCTTTCTCATTAGAAATCTGCGCGCAAAAGCGATTTTTCCACGTTAGCGTGGAAAAGGTTTTGAAATTCGAACTTGAGTGTGGTGCACCCATCGAGTATATAACCAGAAATAGAGACGAAATGTCATTTAATTTGCTTGAAAACTATTCTACCATATCATTACTGTGACAACTGCGCTCCGATTGGACAGCCCGAGTTCGAAACAATTGACGGGTGTTGTCAACTGTTTCACTTCAAATCGACCATTTAACTTGAGCTTTGCTATAATGGACGAAAATTGCAAAATTACATATTTTAAATTATTTAATTACCTATGAAATGTGATTCCGTTTGTTTTGTAATTAGATGTTTTGCTGTTTTCCCACACCACCGAATAGAACAGCACGGCGTTGTTAGAGATAATATCTTTGTTACAATAAACACAGATTTTTTTTTACGTCTCCACACACGTCAGTAGTTGGCCTGTCTATATTTCAGTGCAAACGAAAGTTGATATTTATAAGAGCTGTATCGCTTATGTGTTCCCAGGAATATATGGTCCTTATTTCGTCTCTAGTTCTGGTTATATACTCGATGGGTGCACCTAACTTTTTCTTTCGATGAAAAAAAAAGATAATGACACGTTCAACTACACGACTTGTCGTACATTGCTTATTTATTACGTAATTTAAATTCGTTGGCATATATTATTATTATAATGATAACTAATTGTGTTTATTAAATTATTTTAATTCGTCGAAGAACTAAAATAATTTTAATAATCACTCAATCACACAATATAAAAGTACAAGCAAGAATAAAAATTGATGAGGTGATAAATTCAAAACGCATCCGAAGATAAACTTTTTCAATAAAAAAAAACTGATTTTTCAACTGTTGCTCTTTCATATACCATTTTTCTCACTGAAAACTTGTGTGATTCGCTCGGCAGCAAAGTTGTATTGCGTCTTGGGCCTTGAAACCCTCGCTACGCTCATGAATCTATTTTTCTAATCTTAGCTTCCTTCGCTTGCTTAGGTTTCAATACATTCATTTCAATACAATACAATAAATAACTATTTATGCTTACATAGGAGAGTTATAAAATTTCACATTATACATAATTTGTATTATTTCGTTAGTTCGTATAGTTTTCACGACTTTTATATTCTTTCATATTTTAGCACTTCCGACGTATGGTCACAGATGCCTTTATTATAAACAGGATACGAAATACTGTTTAAGAGGGAGCATGCCAAAAAAGTTTTGACGTTGGCTCCGCCCAAATTTGTGAAACAAATATATGCCTGAAGTTCGCGTTACATGCGACAGAAGATGTTGAATTTTGCGTATTAAAAGTACCTAATTCGTTTTAGCGGAATAACTCTAAAACTAAAGGGATTAAAAAAAATCCGTAGTGACAGTTCTCGATCATGCGTAAATATAATTAATTATCTAATTTTTGTCCTAATAACCTGTAGCATTTCGAGGATAAATCGAAAAAATGTGAAAATTAAAGGTCATTTTGTGATTTTTATCTATCGAGGAAACTTTATTGTTTTATGTTTCTGATTAGTGTCTATGCTTGAATATATCGTGTAGTTACTTATACAATATTTTATTTTTAACTTTAAAATGGATATACCCCTCTAAAATCAAATCGAAGATTAGGAATTTTTCCTCTGCTCCCTCTTAAAGAAGGATGGCGAAAGCTGACCCAATAGATATAATCAACGAAGAGCTGTTCATGGACTTTGCTAGTATAATTTTACGTTTTGGTTTATGCCTAGTTATCAATATATTTTTGTACATTTTTAGAAGTCGAGATTAAAGAAATTGTAAAACAATGTAATTTAGAATAGACACGATAGTACAACGCAATTGATCCAGTTCGACCATAGATTAGATAATGTTCTTGTACCTATGTGTCATTTTAAGCATGATTGAATGTTTACCGACCTAAAGTATTGGTTATTTTATAGTACTTATTTAAAACATGAAACCTATAAAATGCCTACAAATAAATAAAACACAGTCTGACTAAAACGTTTAGACAATATTTAAATGAGAGATAAGAAAGATATCAAAGGAACGTTTTGATAAGAGGCCTCTTGCCAATGTCACATTGAGTTTGAGAATAGTGTGGCCATTTGTTGCAGATTTCTACCATTTGGGTAGATTTAATTTTTATTCATTTTTATTGCGGTAGAACATGTTAATGTAATTAAATATGGCAGATTCGCGGTCCGCAGACGCCGCTCGGCCAATCAGAGCTCCTGAATTACTCATTATTGCTCTGACCGGCCAGGCGCCTACGGCCGTCCGTAACAATAACCTATAATGTGGTTTTAGTTGGAGGCGAACAGTATGTAGTAAATTTTTAAAATTTGTCGTTTAAATAGTCACATATTGTATAGTACGGTTCCATAATTAGTAGTTTCTTAAGTTTAAAACTGACATCTGCCGTTTTTACCGTGTCTTAATTGTTCTTAATTTAGTTTCGAAAGTGCCAAATAATCAACGAGGCATTGCATTTCCATGTTTTTAAAGGTGGAGGTGATACCAAACGAATATGGCCACCGCGTCACACCCTCGTACGTGGCCTTCACGGACTCCGAACGACTCGTCGGCGACGCCGCCAAACTCCAGGACGCAATCAACCCGGAAAACACTATTTTCGGTATTTGAATTAATCCTATACGCATCAAGTTTTAAGGTTTTCGCTAAATCTACACATTTGAAGATGAAACTATTTTTTCACCTCACTAGCCCGAAAAGGCTTTCTTTCTCGTTAGAAACCCGCGCGCAAAACCTATTTTGAAATTCGAATTTGACAATGGACTGTGGTGCACCCACGGCTAGTATTTATGTGGTCTGTGGGTGCAATTAACTTTTTCTTTCGATGCAAAAAAATATAATGATACGTTATTAACCGACTTCAAAAAAGGAGGAGATTCTCAATTCGACTGTATGTTTTTTTTGTTTTTTTTTTGTTGTATGTATGTTACGCGATAATTCCGGTATTTGTGAACCGATTTTCATGATTCTTTTTTTGTTGGAAAGGGGGTACTTCCATAGTGGTCCCATTTCATTTTGAAGAAAATCATCCACCTCTAAGGGTGGATGATTGATGAGGTGGATTCATTTTTATAAATAGCGCCTAAATTTTACTAAGGAGCAATTATTTTAATGGTTGATTCTGCTATTTCTCCAATTCAAGGTGTTTTTCTCTCAATATACTTTGAGTAGTGAGAACCGATTTTTATTATCACCATAGTGGGGAATTTAAGGATATTTCAATAAAACTTAGCAAATAGACGTAATTCAACGTACTTTTGAGGTCGGTTTTTTTAGTACTCTGTACTGAGATTATTTGTCGCACATTATTTATGTAATATAAATCCGTTGTTATATATTATTCTTACTATTGTTGACATTTTAAATTGACAACGATAACTAATTTTCTTTGTTTTAAGGTCGAAATATAAAACTGCGAATCGGTGCGATGCGATTTCATACGGCAAGACATCTCACTGTCACGGTTCGGGTAAATCATTCCTTCGACGATCATCAACTGTACTAAACAACAAAAACAGTATAGGAAAAGAACACAAAGAAGATTAACAATGCAGGAATGCCCGACGCGGAGCCATTCGCAAATTCTTGAGATGCGTCATGCGAGCTCGTAAACTTCTGCGATGCGACGTCGCATCCCAGTTTTGTGTTTCGACCCGTACTTTAACTGTTTTTCTTTCATCTACCATTTTTCTCGCTTTCGTGAGGTCACACCCCGGACACTCCATACAACGGTCGAAAATTTTTAACCTACTACTACTACATACGGCAAGGCGCTATCTGCACACGCGCAAATGTGTGAGTGAAGTGGCAGGGTTACCTATTCTTGCTCGTACTATTTATTACGTTACGTGGTCCTAGAGCCTAATAATTACAAATGTTCATTACGTATTTACATCGATATAATATTGTATTTTTCATTAATTCACTAAGTGGAATAATGTTGAAGATTTGTTTTAAAAATATATTAAAAACACTTAAAATGTTATATTTTGCACAGGTACCTTTAAATAAGGTAGCCAAAGTATTTGAAATTGCGTGTCCAAGTTTATCATTACCTAGTTAAGAAAATTCGATAACCCTTGTCTAGCTCACGACGCTATGGCGCCTTATTACATGAGTATAATAAATCTTTATTATATATTACTCTGCACTAAAGAAAACAATAACTGAATGAGTCTCAGACATAAGTTTTTTTTACTTACTTCGTTTCATCTTTCAAAAAAACGAAAAAAACTCTCTCTTTATCCTGTTTAGATGATTATAAATAGCCGTACACAGCACAATTCACGACCATTCTAAATAGTAACTTAAAATGATGTTATATATTAACGTACAAATTTCGTAATGAATAAATTAAAACTATACTCAAATATCAAAGCCGTCTTAGCGCAAAAACGGCTCGCCGGCAGCCTTGTTCTCGTTCAGTCAATGTGACCGTCAACGTGCAGGGCGCGGTGCGGTATCCAAAGTTAGGGAGGGGCGGAGAGTGTCCGTTCTCATTACTTGTTCTCTGGTGAGGTGTAAAGTTACGTGTTTCAACTAACAGATATAACTGCAGACGTGATTCACCTCAAAAAGAAATTAATTAGGATCTTATAGCCTCCGTAAAATCTGAGGGGTCCAATCCGGTGATTGGACCTATACAGTTATAGATGGTACCACCCTTTTCACCGCCCGGATGATGTCGCAGCAGTCGCTACAAATCTTTTTTGTATGCAGAGTGGCCCGGAAGTGATGGTCAAAACGAAATGAGGAGGTAGGGTTGAATATTTCCAATCGATTTGACTTCTACATTGGGGTCCGGGAAATTGATGGTTCAAAAGTTATTCAAGTTCTTGGAAAATCCACGAAGTGAATTGTATAGAAAATTGAGGTTATTTCTTCACGCCAACCACATTTCTCACAATGATTTCACTGTATTCTATTGATAGACGGCACAATACACATACACAACATGGATGTACACAGTGTTGGGCAAAATTTAATTGTTCTGGCAATTAAAGATTGACAATTAATTAATAGTCTATTGCGAAACCGCAATTAACGAGTCGTATATCTACAATTAACAATTAATCAATTTTAAATATTTCCATGTTTTTGATTAACAATTAAAAATGACAATTATGATAAATTTATAGGGATAATTTGAGTGATATCAATAAAATTAATTCATTGATTTAGAAAATGGGCATAAAAACGATCCCTCGTTTTAAGTAGGTAGTAGTCATACCGAACGTTTACTATATTGTGACCCCGTGGCACATCATTGGGATTCCTCCAAAATACACAAATCGTTTTTAAATACGTTTTGGGTACCATACACAAGCGTAGTTATTAACCCCGTCTAAAATGCAAAAGCGTGCTGATCATAGAGTTCAAACCTATATTTTGCCGATGTCGATATTTGAGAAAAGGCATTTTTCATCATTACTTATTATTACCTTTGTTGATCACGAAACCATCAGAAATACTGTCATAAAATATTTCCAAAAAGTGAAACAACCCTCTAATTGTTACAGATGTGAAGCGACTGATTGGGCGTCGCTTTGACGACCCCGTGGTACAGGCAGACAGGCAGCTGTGGCCATTCACAGTCATAGACAAAGAGGGCATTCCTAAGATTCAGGTCTGGTTCAAGCGTAAACTCGAGAGTTTCTACCCTGAAGAAATAAGTGCCATGGTACTGTCCACATTAAAGAGTTCTGCCGAGGCATATCTTGGGACTCCAGTATGCAACGCCGTGATCACTGTACCGGCGTATTTCAACGATTCTCAGAGGCAGGCTACCAAGGATGCCGGCATCATCGCAGGTTTCAACGTACTGCGTATAATAAATGAGCCGACGGCAGCCGCACTGTCATACAGACACGACGAGATTGAAGAAGAACGAAATGTGCTAATTTTCGATTTGGGCGGTGGAACTTTTGACGTATCCATTTTGAGCATCGAAGAAGGCATCTTTGAGGTTCGCGGGACAGGTGGAAACACGCATCTTGGCGGTGAAGATTTCGACGCCCGCTTACTGGAGTACTGTATCAGTGAGTTCACCAGGAAACACAGACTGGATTTGCGCAGTAACAATAAGGCCCTAAGGAGGCTAAGAACGGCGTGTGAGCAAGCCAAGCGCACGCTTTCGACCGCAACGCAGGCCAGCATAGATCTTGATGCGCTCCACGAAGGTGAGAACTTGCACGTGGTTATCACACGCGCATGTTTCGAGGAACTAATCCAGGACCTGGTCCAACAGATACGGAACATTTTACAACAAGTCCTGTACGACGCGAACATGACTAAAGAAAACATAGAAGAAGTGGTGTTGATTGGAGGGTCGGCGCGAATACCGTACGCAGAGCACGTGGTGACGGCGTTTTTCGGAAAAAAACCAAGCAAGACCATAAACATGGATGAGGCTGTCGCTCATGGTGCGGCCATTCAAGCTGCTATCCTTAACAAGAACTCTCCCGAGACCGTCCCCGATGTGCTTCTTGTCGACGTGACTCCTCTTTCTCTTGGCGTTGCGGTGCTTGAAGAAAACATGGATGTAATCATAGAACGGAATTCGAATATACCCACAAAAAACACAAAAACATACTATAGCACTCAGGACAAACAAACTGAGTTCAAAATCCAAGTATTTGAGGGCAACGATATGAAGACGGTCAATAACAATAAATTAGGAGAATTTATCTTGTCCGGTGTCCCACCAATGCGTAAAGGAAAGGCTAAAATTGACGTAACGTTTTACATCGACGCCGATGGGATTGTTCACGTTTCGGCGATGGAAACCACCACCAAGAACGAAAGCAGGATAAAAATCACGAGCAACAAGGGGCGGCTATCGCAGTCCGAGATTTTACGACTGACACAGAAAGCTGAAATCATGAAGCATAATGACGAGGCGAGACGACAAGTTGTCGAAGCGAGAGACGAGTTGGAGCTTCTCTGTCAGCGCAAACTGCGTGAGGGGCAGGCCCATGTCAAATATTGCCAGAATATGTTAGCGTGGCTGGCTAATGACGGCGCCACAGCGCAAATTGAGGACATCATCACTAAACGGCGGGAATTCCAACGGTTCATCGATAATGAAAACTAATACAAACTCATATCTTTGACCATATCACATAAGTGTTTATTTTGAACTTAACAACTATAAGCCAATAGTAACACTAGAGATTGAAATTCGATAAGTAAAAAATAAAACAATAAGAGGGCACCGATCTTCTGGCGCTAATTGATTTCGACGTTTTTAAAGCCGTGTGTAAGCCCAAGCGACACAATGCGCACGTCTGACCGCCGAATCAGGACTAAGGCCGCGTTCCTATTACGTCGTAACGTTTTAACGAAACGATTCGTTAAAAGTCGCAATTAGCCTGTTCCATCACGACTATCGGTAGCCGCCTTGTCGTTTGCATGACAAAATCGTTTAAAGCTGAGATTTGATTTTTGATTGAGAGATTTATCGCGATGTTTTATAACTAATATCTAGCTAGTCTTTCTGGATCTTGCCATTGTCACGACAATCTGTCGTCGTAATGTCAAAAAGTTGTAGACGACAGTTAATCGTGTTGTTCTATGTGTGAACTACTTCAATTAAATATACAAGCCACAACACTGTAAACTGCACGGCTATCTGTCGTCATGACATAATAGGACCGCTCCCTAAAGCAAACAGGAGGGAAGCGTGGCGGTTCTGGCTAGTACGGGCGAACCACGTACGAATTTAGGTATTTTCTTCGTATTATTAAATTAAATACATTT